TTTCACCTTCTTGCTCTTCTAGACCAGATGCCTGCTCTTTGGAAAGGAGAGATGAGAAGGGAGGTTTGGGCATATTTTTTTCCAGAGACTAGGCATTATCCAAGAGCTGTTCAAAGTATCCCTTAGAACCGTGTTCTAACCTGGGCAGGATGAAAGTTTATCAATTTTTATTGCTAAGCTACAGGTGAGGGCTTGGGAATACCTGGGCAGACACGTACCTAATCAAGACTGACTACGTCCGATGCACTCCTGAACACGGCAGGAGTGAGCCTGCTGATCCACTGCCCTCGCCCACTGCAAGGGCTGAAGCCCCAGGGAAGAGGCCTCTGCCATCTCTGTCGTCCCCAGGGGTCAGCGTGTCCCCTGGCTCGTCCTTCCTGCCTAACTGGCTGGCCTGCACCATGGCCCATATTCAACAACCTTAGTCACGGTTCCCACCCTTGGCGTTTATGGAAGCTTGGAGCCTCATAAAGTTCAAAGTCTGCAACAATAAGAAAGGCCCAGTCAGCTTGGCTCGGGGAGCAGCTGCAGCCCAGCACTGGAAGCTCCTCGTTGCGGAAGGGCGTTGGGTCCTGGAGGGAGGAGAGCCTTGGCCTGTCCTGTGGGGCCCAGCCTTGGATTCTAGCTTCCAGGCCTCTGTTTTATCATGTTTCCTGTGAACTCCTTCTGTGCCTAAGATGTGGGCAGTGCCACCCTTGCAGAGGCGCCACTCCAGGCCCTGCACACTTAGGGGCATAGCAACTACTACTGTTGAACACGGGTTTGGGGCTGTGGAAAGAAATCTGTGTTTCACTGGAAAACTATGCAACCTACATAGGGCACCAGCTCCCACGTGGTCAGATACTAACTTTCATCATCTTTTTTTTCTTTTAGAGACGGAGTCTCCCTCTGTCGCCCAGGCTGGAGTGAAGTGGCACAGTCTCGGCTCACTGCAGCTTCTGCCTTCCAGGTTCCAGTGACTCTCTGGCCTCAGCCTCCCGAGTAGCTTAGATTACAGGCATACACTACCACACCTGGCTAATTTTTGTATTTTTAGTAGAGACAAGGTTTCACCATGTTGGCCAGGCTGGTCTCAAACTCCTGACTTCAGGCGATCTGCCCAGCTCGGCCTCCCAAAGTGCTGGGATTACAGGCGTGAGCCACCACGCCTGGCCTCATAGTCTTTTTTTTTTACATCTATTTGTAGGTTGTGAGGATCTGAGGGACATGCACATTGTCTTGTGCAGTAGGGGTGCCACAACCTCCCCTGTCCCCACCTCTATGCCCAGCCGTGGAAAGACACCTTCTGCCTGCTCCCACATCCACTTCCGGGCTCCATTTCCAACAGGAGCCTCTCTTGGGAGTCCCCTTTGGACCGGATATATATTAAATAATAACACTGGTCTGGTTCCTTGGTTGATTAACGAGTAGAATAAAATCTTTAACATGTGTTGATATTTATATTGTAAAGAGAATCAGGATTTTACCTTTTTCTGATTTTTCATTTTCTGGGAGGGAGGAATCTCGCTCTGTCCCCCAGGCTGTAGTGCAGTGGCGCGATCTCGGCTCACTGCAACCCTCCGCCTCCCAGGTTCAAGTGATTCTTCTGTCCCGGCCTCCCAAGTAGCTGGGATTACAAGCGCCGGCCACCACGCCCGGCTCCCAATGTGCTCAGATCACAGGCGAGAGCCACCGCGCCCGGCCTGAAAATGATCTTTTAATAGGGATTAGCTGGACGAGTTAGTGTCATTTTCACCATTTGGTGACTTTGTGCTCTTTGGGAGATTGCTTCATCTCTCTGGGATCAACCTTAATTTGTTCGAAAAATGAGGCTGGTGAGGCTCGAGAGGGACCTCGCAGATTGGGGGCTTCCGAAGTCTCCTAGAGCCTTCTAGAACCCTGGACTCATACCCAAAGATGGGCAACAACAACAACGACGGCGAACCCTGGGCTCGAACTCTCCCAGACCACGTCCCTCACAGCCCCGCCCACCTTCGACCTCGCCCCGCGCGGCCCCGCCCCGCCCTCGGCCCCGCCTCCGGCCCCGCCCCGCCCTCGGCCCCGCCTCCGGCCCCGGCCCCGCCTCCGGCCCCACCCCGACCCCCGCCCCGCCCGCAGCCCCGCCCACAGCCCCGCCCCGCCCTCGGCCCCGCCTCCGGCCCCGGCCCCGCCTCCGGCCCCACCCCGACCCCCGCCCCGACCCCCGCCCGCAGCCCCGCCCCGCCCTCGGCCCCGCCTCCGACCCCACCCCGACCCCCGCCCCGCCCGCAGCCCCGCCCGCAGCCCCGCCCCGCCCTCGGCCCCGCCCCCGGGCTGTCTCCGCTACAAAGTCCCCGCCGCGGGGCCCGGTGGCCGGGAGTCCCTTCCCAGCGCGGCGTGAGCGCTGCGCACTTCCCATTGGCCGAGCGCGGCGCGGGGGCTGGCCTGGGCCTGCGATTGGCTCTCGGGCCGGGCGACGCGCCACCCGCGCGGACGGTGTCATGGAGGCCGCGGCGGTGGCGGTGACCCGATCGGCTGCGCGGCGGCGGCGGCGGCGGGAGCGGGAGCGGCAGGGGCCGGCGGCCGCGGAGGCGGGGACGCGGGAGGAGGAGCAGGAGCCGCGGCCGCGGCGGCGGCGGCCGGGGAGGAGGTGGGACGGCGGGGCCCGGATGGCCCCCCGATCTGCGGGCCCGAGGTTCCCCCGCACGGGGGCGCCGAGGGGCGGGGGGCCGGCGCCGGGGTCGGCTCCGAGCACAGCAGGGGTCAGCGGGTGGCAGCGCCCCTCCGTCCCGGTTCTTCCCGCCGTCCCTGCGCCGCTGCCGGGCAACCGCCTCCGGCCCCCGTGCCTGACCCCCAGAAATGCAAGCCCGAGTGGCCGTGGGGCCCCGCGGGAATCCCGGCGCCCCGGCCAGACCCCTGCCTCCCACGCCGCCGGTCTGTGCGGAAGATCCCGGCGGCGGTGCTCGTGGCTCAGGGGATGCCGGCTGGTGGAAGGGGTGGCCTTCTGCAGGGGTGACATTAGAACTGCGTCTTTGGGGAGGAGGAAGCCTTCAGCAGGTGGAGAATGGGAGTAGGGTATCCAGCGGCGGGGAACAGAATGGGCCAAGGCACAGAGACGGAAAGGGTGCCCCTCTGGGCCAGGCTTCCTTCCTTTCTGGGACATCTGCCCGCCCAGCAAACCCCCCTCAGTAGGTTGCAGGGGCGGGGCGGGGAGAGGGGAAGTTAGGAGCACAGACTTGGCTTCTGGAAACTGCAGCCGTAGCTTTGTTTAACCCAAAGCAATGAGACTGCTGGCATTTCAGCCTCGTGATGGCGGGATGGGGGCTGGCTGGAAAGGTATTTTTGGACAGGAGGAATGTGGAGATGGCTGTTTCCCTCCCAGTGGAGGAATGACAGGTGACAGAGGTGACCTCGTGTGGGTGAGGATTGCTCTGAGAAGGCCCAGGAGGGGGCGGCTGAAGGGTAATAAGGACATCAACAAGGGAGGGGGCTTGGGAAAAGGAGGGTGGAGAGGAGCACCTTCTGTGGCATCTCTGCTTGAATCTGCCCCCAGCCCTGCAGTCCTCAGGGTCTCTCAGTGCCATTCTGGAGGACCCGGGTCTGTTTGGTGGTGGCAGAAGCTACCGAGGACTCTTGGCCACAGGCCTCTGAATGGCGGTGGGGTGCAGACAGATGACAGCTCAGTGAACAAAGAAGTGGCCTTGGGCGATAGTCACTGCAGTGTCTTACTGATCTTAAAATAATTATAATTTTTTAGGCCAGGCGTGGTAGCTCATGCCTGT